CTCACAGTCTGCTCCACAATCCTGAAGACAACCTTCCTTGGCTGGCTCCCTCCAGGAGCTCAGCTGGAAGAGAACATGCCTCGGACCTTCGGGAGTGGCTTGACCTTGGTGTTGAACCAATTTGGCAAGTAGACACTCACGATGAATTGGACAATAAGTCTCAGGTTGTGAAGCTGGTTCCCTTTCAGTTTATGATGAGCGACCCAAATTCTGCAGAACCTGAGAGCCGTTGTGAGCCACCTAGAATGTGAGACTGGACCTATCTGCAGGTAAGCAAATCTATCAGGCATGACCCCCAGTTTTGATGGCACTGCAAATCATGTAACCATAGTACTGGTCAGTACTCAGGTCGTCAATGACAGTATGTGCAAGCTCAACGAGTGGAGGGCCAACTGTGATTTTTTCAAAGCTCGGATTTATTTCTAACTCAGTGGCAGAGTCCAGCATCTTGCCAAGAGGACCAGACCATCTGTTGTTTGAAATAGTCTTGCCATCCAGCTCCTGCATCAGATGTCTGAGTGGCAACGCGTTGGTGTGGAGGTCACAAACAATCCAGACCAGCTTCCTCCCAATCTTCCGCTCTATCCACTGTATGACCCCCCTTGCCACCCTGTGTTCGTGTTGGTGCTGTCCCCTCCAATGGCCTGCAGGGTCTGGTCTACGTTCCTCTCTCTGAGCCAGTTCGCAATGTTATCTGCCACTATCTCAGCTGGTTTCCTGATGTCATCTTTCTCTGGAGTGAAATGCCACAAATACTTCCCTCCTGGTTCACTGCAGCAGGAGTAGTGTTCCTCCTTCACCATGGCAGGGAACAACTTGTCAGAATCTCCAACTTTCATGAACACTTTAGTGTCATCCCTTCTCCCATCAAAGAACAAACAATTGATTCCATTTTCTATCCCCTTATCAAACTCCTCTTCTAGGTTACTGACAAGTTTCCTGAGCTCTCCTTACTTTGTTATGATCTATCACCAGGTGAACATCAGGTGTTAATAAACCACCGCCAATCCAGGCAGCTGTTGCTATCTCTGCAGTTTCCTCTTGAGACCAGTGTGGTGTCGCATGCTGGCCAGAGCTATGCTCGGGATATCTTTCCTATTTCGAATCTTATGCCTGGAAGGTTTGGGATTATTATTTTCTGGGTTAGGGACAAAGTCACCATTCTCCTGGTCAGCACTCAGATCAGCCATGGGGAAGTCATTAAACTCTGAATCAGCTTGACTCCAATCATCGGCCTTTTTTACCTCACCCTGGGCCTTCTCAAGTCTTTTTCCTCGGCAACTCTTCTCCTCTTCTGTCTCTCTGAGGCAGCCTCCTGTCTCTTGGACTCCAGAATATCTTGGCTAGAAATCATGAGAGCCCCTATACTGCCAGTCTTCTCTCTCTGTGCTTTGACAAATGCCAGTTCGATCACAGGAATCTTCAGTTCACGCTATAAATACAGGAGATGTGGGCCTCGGATTTACAGTCAATGAACATCGCATCCAAACTCAGGACAGAGAAAAATTGGGCACTTGCAAGTAATTATGTCAAATAACTGGTCCAGTTGCTTTGCAAAGCTGTCCTTAACTGCAAGTTTCTTCTCCCAAGAGAGATATCTCTTGCCTTTTCCCAACTGGCTAGCAGTCTCTCACTAATCTTCTTCTGACTTGTTATGACTGGAGGCTTGAACTGAGCGTTAGCCAGAGTGTACTGTGCCAAGACAGCTTTGGTCATATCACTGGCAATGCCTTTGTTTGTGTAAGTTCTTTGGTTCTTTTCACTGATTTGCCTGATTAAAACACCGTATCTCAAAGCATCTCTCAATGTAGGCAACTCCGACTTCAGGAGTTCTCTCCCAGACCCAAGATAGTGACTGAGATGGCTGGATTTTTGGTTCCTCGCCCTGACACAAGCAGCCATCGCAAATATTATCAACTTATAAATGCATCAGAATCTGAAACAGAAAAAAATATTGTTAGTTGGGTTGTTAAAGAATGAAGTCAGAAAGCAATGTTCACTATTTAATTGTAATGCACTAATGCAGCTGTACGTTAGATTTTCGATAAATTTCACGCTAAAATTTACCTAGCAAAAGGTTGCAAAATATTGAAACTGAAATTATTTTCTGTTTATATACACTAAAATCTACCAAAAAGTGATGGGCCATTAGTTTTAGCTGATCTTCCCTTTATGACACACCTAATAAATAAATAAATAAATAAATATATATATATATATATATATATATATATATATATATATATATATATATATATATATATATATATATATATATATATATATATATATATATATATATATATATATATATATATATATATATACACACACACATTAGGGTGTGTCATATATATATATATATATATATATGCAAGTAAATCACTGTAGGTGCGCGTGATCTTGGTATATGCTGATAACCACAAGGAAAGAAGAAAACACGAAGTTCTCAAGCGCTTTCGTGTAATTCACATCTTCAGGGGTGAGTACAGACTAGAGAGAGTAATACAAATCAAGGTGTATATATACAGAGGAGGGTGAGACCAGGTCCACAATGGTCAGGTATTAGGTAATGACCCTACTAATCTTTAAATAGCACACAACGGTTGGTGGTCAGGTCAGATGGTCAAGTGACCCGGCCTTCTCACCTGGTCAGCTTTGATGTAACGTCACTCTTTACAAAGGTCCCAGTTGATGATTTACTAGAGTTCCTCATAGATTCC